CATCGGCCATGAGGCATAGTCATGCCTCAATCCCTTCTTTTCCATCTCTTCCTCCCTTCAGGATTTTGGGCACACATACACACATGCCTGTTGTGTTTTTCAAGCTGCCAGATTCCAGATTTGAACCACACAACAGGCCAAGTGGGATCTGGCTGCCTTAATTACCAGGCTGGACCAAGTTATTTCCAAAGATTTGAATTCAATAAAGACTAATCTGGGTCAGCCAGGGTATGGTGGTTAAGGCAGGTGGATCCCATATGGCCCACTGTATGGTTTGAGTCTTAGACTTGGCAAGTTGAAAAACACTCCCAGTACATAAGTGCATGTGTCCCAAATCCTGAGAGGATGGAGGAGAATAAACTGCTGTGTGACCATTCCCCCTGGGGTGGAGAATGTGTGTGTGCTTTCTCAACCTGCTCCCATCTATCTTGAGTGAGTACAAGCACTCTATAGCAAATTAAAAAAAACTAATCTGTTATTCCTTAAATAGATGAATATGCAGATAGGAGAAGGGCATCTGAGAAGGAATTTTAAAAAGCTTATCTGTTATATTTGGAAAAAGTCTTCCGAGTTCTAACTTCTTCCCAATTAAATGTCTTTCCACAAAGATTAAGAAGACTTCTGGGGGCCAGCAGGTGGTTTAGGTGCTGGATTCCTACGTGGTCCAACACAGTTTGAGTTTCAGACCCAGTGGCTTGAAAATCATACCAGGTGTGTATACATGCATCCCCAAAATCCCAATGGAGGACAATGGAGGAGTAGGGTCTGTGGTGTGGCCATCTGTCCTAGGGTGTGATTTCTTTTTCTCTGTCTCTCTCCAGCAAGGGCACACACCCTAGGATAAAAAAAAAAAAAAAGAGCGAGAGAGAGAGAGAGAGACTTTTGTTGGGGCCAGCAGGTGGCATGCAGGTTAAGGTGCTGGACCCTACACAGTTGACTGTGCGGTTCAAGTCCTAGCTCTGGTGGCTTGAAAATCATGCTGAGTGTGTGTGTGCCCCCCAAAATCCCAAGAGGAGCCTCAAGGAGAAAGGACTGTGGCATGGCCACGCCCCTTGGGAGAGTTATCTCTCCCTTTCCCTCTCTCTGTCTCACTTTGCCAGTGCACGTGCCCTATTGCAAAAACCTGGGTGGGAGGGAAAGGACTACTATCTGTTCAATTTCCTTTCCATTATCCATTGCTTTCATTTCTTTTAATTAGATCTTCTGTTCAAACAAAAAAATGTCATTTTCATTAGTTAAAAGAAACATGAATAGTGTCAAGTAACTGCTAAACTTTGTTATTCTTTTTTTTTTTTTGGAGAGATTTTTGCTATAGGGTGCATGCGCTTGCCAGAGAGAGACAGAGAGACAGAAAGCGAGAAATCACCCCCCGGGGGGATGGCCATGCCGCAATCCCTTCTCCTCCCTTCTCCTCTCGGGATCTTGGCACGCACACACACATGCCCAGCGTGAGTTTAAGCCACCGGGTCCGGGAACTACATAGGAATCCAGTGATCACGCCTTTCCCCTAAGTGTTGGGCCCCTCTTTTTTTTTTTTTTTTTTTTTTGAGAGATTTTTTTGCTATAAAGCTTATGTGAGAGAGAGACAGAGAGAGAGAAGTGAGAAATCATCCCCCAACGGGATGGTCACGCTGCAATCCCTTCTCCTCCATTCTCCTCCTGGGATTTTGGGCACATGCACCCAGTGTTTCAAGCCATCGGGTCTGGGACTCAAAGTGCAGTCAGCTATGTGGGAGTCCAGCGCTTCAATCACTATTTCACCTGCTGGTGCCAGCAAAGTCATTTCTTGACCAAAAGTTATCCTGCTACAATGAATGAAGTTCCCTATGTCATGCTCTCACCAGACCACTTTCAACCAAAGCCAGATTTCAACTATAAAATTAGGGGGGGAAATGGTGTATTTCTATTCTCACACTATCTTTGGAAAATCCTGTTTTTGTTTCACTGCTTAAGAGGGAACTGAAAACACTTCAAAAAGTCAAACAAAAGATTAAAGTTTCCTTTACTACTATCTTTTCCAATCTTTATCCGTTACTGTTCATGCCAATGCTGTATTTTATACTGGTATCACAGTTCAGAGAGAAAAGGTACATCTTCAAATGAAAGTAGAGTAAAATAATGCCATCTCTCTTCTTGTGCTGCAAATCCTGGACAGCTCCTTTGTTATTAAGTGCCACTCAATAAATGAGAACAGTTCCAGTATTTGCAATTTCATGGCATCAAAGTACGTACTGATGATGTATTTAGCTCTCATTGCTAATGAAGTTCCCTTCACAAGGTGACATGTGCAAGTTAAGATTTGGTAGTGAGTTTTTAGCATTAGCTAAAGTCCATTCACTACATCCTGAAGAGGTACCCTCTGTACACACAGCAACACAGGTGTCCACTAATGTATAATAGGACATCACAAACACCTATAACCCCTACAGTGATATCAGCTAAGAACTAGGACCACGTCACGGTGAACCTGGATTAGAATTTTGGATAGTTATTTAGAATAATAATATCTCCACCAACTACAATGGGGACATTGCTTTCAGCAGCTTTATATTGTATAAAAGCTAGCCTTGCTTGAATTTTCATGAATTTCATGGCTCTGGTTGGGCCAATTAATAGGAGAGAATCAGCAAACATGATTGTGCTCATGAGGCCTGAGAGGACCAGGAAGCACCCTATTCACAGTAACAATACAGTAAAAACATACTGGAAGTGAATGAAAAGGGAGGGGGAACCCACCAAACACAGCATTTCCACATGAATTAAATAGTCTCTACTTCATTAAGATGTTTGCTGCCATTCCTGAATGGAGTACTGACAAATGCTGTAAAGTTCCTCTTTATAGAAATTAGTACACCTCACCTTTACGATTTGGTAATAGTTTAAAAAACTCTACTTTTTCCACATATAAGCTAGTAAACTAACAAAGCAATAAAGAACACCTCAGCCTACTACTTCTCAAAAGTAGGATGGACTTAACAATTTTTTTTTGGTAGGCTAAATGCTCCATCTAAATAAAGCAGCATATTCTGTACTTCCCACCTCCCTATTTAGTAATGGCAAAATCCATCCATTGAAAGCCTTGATAATCAGATGATATAATTCCTTAAGATTTTAGTTCAATTTCTAATCTATTTTCTCTACGCCACAAGACATGGCAGGTTCCCAAGACGGCTCTAGGAGGCAGTTTTTACCCTATCTGTTGCCCATTTACAGAGGAGGATGTCTTAGTTTGTGTCACCTAAAGACAAAATACGGCTTCAACACTGCCTTTAAGGGTGGGCTCTTAGATGGATTTGTATGTTTTCCCAAAAGAGGCGATAACCTTTCTCTAAGTGACAGGTACAGCTGTATGTATGTGTACAATTCTCAGACTGCAGAAGAGCTACACTTTTGCATTCCAGTTTCTTACCCTCAGAGAAAAGCCATTCTTTTCTACCCATCCTCCCACATATACAAAGCATTCTCAGAAAAGATGCACACAACTGATGTTCTACCAATGGCTCACTAATGCAGGCGTGACCAGCCCTTGCCCAAATCTTACAGTAATCTGTGCCTAGCACCAAAACAATTTCTTAAACCATTACGTGTTTAAATCCTAAAGAAATTAATGACCGATCAAGAGAAGCAAGAGATTTTTCTCCTGTTTTTGTGCACTGTCAGCATCTGTATGCCTCCACCCCTTAGGATCCCTCTTCTCTGTGTGCAAGATAGCACTCAAAGCACTATGTGTTTGGTAAGTTCTTTCAGTGCTGGATTAAGAATCTCAGAAATACCCAGGATTACTAAAAAGGTCCCTTGAAGTTTTAAAAATCTTAGGAATGATTAAGTAACCAAACCTGATCAAAATTGATCCCTTGATCATTTATTGCAACATGATTGTGCATGACGTTTCCGGTAAGTGCCTTGTGGTGTATTATTAAAAAGCAAAGCTCTTGGAATCACCAGCGATTTGCTGATGGTTGTTTTATGAACTTCTAGGTTTGCAGACCCGACATATAGATTTAAATGAGGTTTTTCTATTGGACTGAAAATATAAACTATTACATATGCAGGAGGAAATGGAATTGTGGTTGCAATAAGAACCATAATGTTGAATTTCTTCAACCACAATACTGCAGAAAACAATGTGTTTAAAACTTCATATAAAAGTTATCAAATATGGAGACCTGTGGATTTAAAAATACAATCCAGGCTCATTTCACTGGAAAGTGACATTTTTGATGTATAGTATTGCTGTTATGTGAAACCAGGAGCCAGAGACCGGATGAAACTTTGGTAGTCAGCCTAACACATTAATTCATCTACACCAGAGCCATTTCCCAACACCCATGGACGTATAAGCTCTATGGTTTACAAACTCGTCAGGAAGTTGCAGTACAACTCTGTGCTGTTCAACATTTGCAAAACATGAAAACACTTCCTTCTTTGCTCTCTTCCTCAACACAACACTTCTGCCCCTGGAGGTAGCAGAACCTACTGAAAAACTTGACTTCCGGTTTCTCTCCCAGCTGCCTGAAGTGCCACAGGCAATGCTACCCCCTAGAACACAGCTCACAGAAGGCTGCTTACAGGCAACACTGGGCAAGTATGGGATGGCTAGTCAGGGCAAAGATAAAACTCTAACCTTTCAAAACGGTAAGAACCATCAATATTCCTTTTCTTCCTGAAATGCAAAATGCCTGTTCTGGCAGGGAAGAAAGAGAAGAAATGCCTCCTCTTCATCACCATCACGACTACCTCCTTCTTGTTTGTGATTGGCTGCTTCAGATGGCCAAGGCTCCTGCTGCAATTTTTAGATCGGGGCAATTACAGCCACCAAGATGATATGAACCGAAGTACAGTGTTCAAACATGACTGGCAGATAAATGACCATTTTCACCATTTTGTTAAAAAATTTTTTCTCTTATAAAGTTAACAAACCAAGGCTGTTGATCCCTGAATTAGAAAGTTGATTTGCTTGATTATTTTTCAAAGTGTGAGGTGAGGAGGAGGAGGGATGCTTACGGCCCAGAGGGGAAGAGGGTCTGCCCCCTCCCCCTCAATGTTTCAATCCGGCCCAGTAGTGGACACAGAGCCCTGGGCAGTTTCCCCAGGAGCAACTGTCTCTTCCTGTGAGGGTGACTCTTCCTCGGCCTGGCCTCGTGATGTGACAGTTGTTTCAGGGGAGATGCTGTGAGGCCCTTCCAGGGGTATACAGCCAGGGTGGTTTTTGCGAAAGTGCTGATTCAAGATGGCCTGGAAGGGGAAACTTTTACCACAAACATGACAGTGAAAGGGCTTGTTGCCTGTGTGCTTGCGGATATGATACTCCAGCTGATCTTTCCGGGTATACTTCTTGCCACACATGCGGCAGACGAATGGCGTGATCCCCATATGCAGGCGCATGTGACGGTCCAGGCTCCCCTTTTGGTTGAAAGATTTGGCGCAGTAGATGCAGGTGAGACGGGGGTTGTACCGGAACCATCGTTCAGAGACTTCCTGCTCTCGGAGATACTCCACATACCCACTCACTCCCATCACTGCTGACTCTTCTACCTGTGCCAGGTGAGGAGAATGAACAAGAAAGGACATATTGGGTTCTTGCTGTGAAAAGACACATGTTTTTCTATGCAAAAATGTGTCACGACTTTTCCGATGACCCAATATATTGCTAAGCACACTTAATAAAAAAAACCAGGAACCAGCAGTTGGTGTAATGATTACATCACTAGATTCTTACGTAGTCAACCGTGGTTTAAGTCCCAGACCTGGCGGCTTAAAACTCACAACGGGCGCGTGTGCGTGTATGCCCCAGATCCTGAGAGATACTGGAAGAGAAGGGATTATGGTGTGGCCATCCCCCCCGGGGGGGTAATTTCTCATTTTCTGTCCCTCTGTCTCTCAGGCGAGCACATATGCCCTATACCAAAAATCTCTCTTAAAAAAAGAAAGCAAATAAAGGATCAAATTTATTTTTATCTCTTACTAAAATACATACTTACTATTTGCAGAGGAATTGGCAGGAAATTAATTACTACCAACACATATAGTAACCTAATAATTAAAAAATAAATCTGAAGATACTCTATTCCATAACCAAAAAAAAGTAACCTAGCAAAGTTATGTTCTGGTTGACAAACTTAATTTGTATTAAACCCCTTCTGAAGGTTCTAATTTTTCTTTTTTTTGGGAGAGGTTTTTGCTATAGGGCATGTGCGCTCACCAGGAAGACAGAAAGAGACAGAGAGGCAGAAAGTGAGAAATCATGCCCTGATGGGGGGATGGCCACGCTGCAATCCTTTCTCCTCCATTCTCCTCTTGGGATCTTGGGCACACACGCAGGCACACATGCCCAGCATGAGTTTAAGCCACCGGGTCCGGGACTCGAACCGCAGAGGACTACATGGGAGTCCAACGACATAGCCATTACAGCAACTCCTGGTCCCTGAAGGTTCTATTTTTTCAACGAAAGGAGAATAAGGGCCCATTCCTTAAACCCTAATTTTGCAATTATATTCTAGACAATAAAGTACTTATGGAGCAGTGGTTCAAAAGAACTTCCCATGGTGATGGAAATGTTCTACAATCTGCACCATCCAATATAGTAGTCATTAGCTGCGTGTGGCTCCTTAGCATTTTTAATATGGCTAGTGCAATTAAAAAAGTCAGTTTTCTTAAAGAATTATTTTATTTAACTTTATTTTAATTTGACCAGAGAGAGAGAGAAAGAGAGAGAGAAAGCAAGCCACTAGGTCTGGGATTTGAACCATGGTCGGCTATGTGGGAGTCCAGCGCCCTTAACCATCATACCACACGCTAGCCCAAGAAAAAGTCTATTTTTTAAAACAATGATGTCTCAAATTTATTTTGTTTATTTATTTTTGCTAGAGGGTGAGTGCATTTGCCAGAGTGAGTGAGCGAGCAGAAGAGAAAGTAACCCCCACAGGGATGGTCATGCCATAATCTCCATTTCTCCATCTTTTTGGGATTTTTGGGCACGCACAGCACTTGATGTGCTTCTCAAGCCGATGATCTGGGACTCAAACAGTGCTGTTGGCTATGTGAGGCCCAGATGCTTTAATTACCAGGCCCACAGAACTAGCACAAGAAAATGAATTTTTAACTATAATTGCTTTCAATTAACTAAAAGCTACATGTGATATATAGGTAATATATATGTATAGAATCTATAGGGCAAAAACAGTTTCTTTTAAAAATAATTATTTTACATTTAATTTTATTCATTGTCATTATTTTATTTTTATTTCATTTTTTTAGAAGTTGACCATAGACAGACAGAGAGAGAGAGGGAGAGCAAGAAGGAAAGTAAGAAAGTGAGCTGCCAGGTCCAGGACTCAAACTGTAGTCAGCCATGTGGGAGTCCATCCTCTTTAACCACCACACCACACCACCTGCCAGCCCTGGCAAAAACATTTTTTTTTTTGGAGAGCTTTTTGCTATAGGGATCGTGCGCTCGCCAGAAAGACAGAGAGACAGAAAGCGAGAAATCACCCCCTGGGGGGATGGCCATGCCACAACCCCTTCTCCTCCATTCTCCTCTGGGATCTTGGGCATGCATGCACATGTGCCTGGCATGAGTTTAAGCCACTGGGTCCAGGACTCGAACCACGGTGGACTACATGGGAGTCCAGCAACATAGCCATTATGCCAACTGCTGGTCCCCCGGCAAAAACATTTTAAACAGTATTTGTAATATTGCCTTTGATACCTACTGTTACCCACCAGTAGCTTTCTTTAGAAAAATGTATTAAATTGGTAGGCAACAGTATTCCTTTTTATCTAAAAATAGTTTGGTACATACCAACATACTATTTTCATTCTAAAAACTAGTCAAAGTTTATATATTTATTTTAAAAGATTAATTTAATTAATTATTTTAATTTGACCAGAGAGAGAGAGAGAAAGGGAAAGTGAGAAAGCAAGCCACCAGGTGCAGGACTCAAACCATGGTAGTCCATGTGGGAGTGTCCAGTGCCTTAACCATCACACCACCTGTTGCTCCTCCTAAAAACTAGTCAAAGTTGCGACCAGCAGTTAGCATAATGGCTATGTCACTGAACTCCTATGTAGTCAACCACGGTTTGAGTCTGGGACCCGGTGGCTTAAACTCACGCTGGGCGTGTGTGCATGCATGCCCAAGATTCTGAGGAGAATGGAGGAGAAGGGATTGTGGCATGGCCATCCACCCTGGGGGGGCCATTTCTCGCTTTCCGTCTCTCTCTGTCTTTCTGGTGAGTGCATGCACCCTATAGCAAAAAAAAACTAGTCAAAGTTTAACTGACTTCAGAATTAACTGGTTGAATATACACGTTTCTCCTATCTGGAAGCAGGGGGAAGTAGGAATATATTACTTTCAATATCTAATTAAAAAATCTTGGATTTAAACTAAATTTTATTTGGGGTAGCTGGTGGCATGGTAGTTAAGGTGGCTGGATCCTACATGGCTGAATCCATGGTTCAAGCCCTAGAGCCAGTAGCTTGAAAAACATGACAGGTGCATGTGTGTGCATGCCCAAATTCTGAGAATGGGGAAGGGATTTCAGAGTGGCCATCCCCCAATGGGGTGTTTCCTCTTTTTCTCCTCTCTTTTTCTCGGATGAGTGATATCCAGGGCCAGTAGGTGGCATGGTGGTTAAGTGCTGGATTCCACATGGCAGACTCCATGGTTTGAATCCCAATCTGGTGGCCCAAAAATCACACCAGGCACATGTGCAGCTATGCCCAAAATCCTGAGAGTAGAATGGACTGTGGTGTGGTCATCCCCTCTGCAGGGTGATTTCTCATTTTCTCTGGTTTTCTCTGGTGAGCACTCATGCCCTATGGCAAAAACAAAACAAAACAAAACAAACAAACAAACAAAAAACTAAAAAAACCCCAAAAGAAACAAAATCACTATTCAGAAATTACTATTTTTTTCTTTTTTTCCCCCTTGGAGGTTTTCGCTATAGGGTGCGTGCGCTCGCCAGACAGAGAGACATAGAGACAGAAAGCAAGAAATCACCCCCCAGGGGGGATGGTCACACCGCAATCCCTTCTCCTCCATTCTCCGCACGCACACGCGCCCGGCGTGAGTTTTAAGCCACCGGGTCCAGGACACGAACCGCGGTCGACTACGTGCGAGTCCAGCGACATAGCGATTACACTAACTGCTGGTTCCCAAGGAATTATATATGTTTAGCAGAGGAAAATGTTGAAGTTGACCCTGGGGTTAACCTGACAAAGATTCGTCTATTTGGTCATTGGGAAAGTCATGATGCACTTTTGCTTTAAAAAATAGAAAAATACATCATGATTTCCCTAATGATTTCACAGTTAGCCATTAATCCTGTACCCTTATAATTCCTAAAAATATGTTTTGTCTCCTTCCTTATATATTAGCTGATAATTCACTTCAACATTTCTAATAGAGGCAGTTTTCAACAGGTTTTGGAACCATTATGTGAAGTCAAGGGCCAATATTAAGACAGATGTCTTAGATTCTTTTTTTGGAAAGGTTTTTGCTATAGGGCGCATGCACTCGCCAGGAAGACAGAGAGACAGAAAGACAGAAAGCGAGAAATCACCCCCCAGGGGGGACGGTCACGCCGCAATCCCTTCTCCTCACTCTCCTCTCGGGATCTTGGGCATGCACGCACACGTACCCGGTGTGAGTTTAAACTATTGGGTCCAGGGCTCGAACTGCGGTTGACTATGTGGGAGTCCAGTGACATAGCCATTACGCTAACTGCTGGTTCCACAGACTATTTCTAATTTATTTTATACAACATTTGTTTCATTTCCCTATATAATCAAACTGAGCACACATAAAGAATGAGAAATTACACCAAAAAGGTATAGCTGTCCCTCAAGGACAAAATACCAGTAAATTATCTGAGGCTTACTTACCCATTCATAAAATTAAATTGTTACCGTAGGCTTTGTCAGCTTTATACAATTCTCGTAAAAATGATACATAATAATACCTTAATATATTTTGAATGCATAATAATTTATAGCACTTAAAGTACTAGAATCTGAATTAAAATCTTATTTCTATTTATTGTTGACCCTGAGCAAGCTATTTACCTATGCCTCAGTTTCCTCAACTGTACAATAAAACACGATAGCATCTCTTTCACAAGGTCCTTTAAGTATTGAATGAGTTAACACACTAAAGTTCTTTCTTTAAAAAAAAGAATTATTGGGACCATCAGTTAGTATAATGGCTATGTCGCTGGACTCCCACGTAGCCAACCACGGTTCTAGTCCCGGACCCGGTGGCTTAAACTCACGCCGGGCACGTGTGTGTGCATGCCCAAGATCCTGAGAGGAGAATGGAGGAGAAGGGATTGCCGGCACGTGTGTGTGCATGCCCAAGATCCTGAGAGGAGAATGGAGGAGAAGGGATTGCGGCATGGCCATCCCCCCTGGGGGGTGATTTCTCGCTTTCTATCTTTCTGTCTTCCTGGTGCGTCCTATAGCAAAGACCTCTCAAAAAACATTATTAAATTTTATTTATTCATTTATTTATTTTAATTTGACCAGAGAGAGAGAGA